CTTCAAGGCTTGATTCACGTGCGTGTGACTTCAGAGCGTCCTTATGGGGGACTGAAGAAGCAATATCCGTATCGTAATCACCCTCGTATTCGGTAAGTTCCTCGGCTTCTTCTTCGCCAGCCTGAGGAGGTCCCCTGGTATGTTGTGCCTGAGAATCTTGGGTGGACTGTCGACGAAGACCACCTGGTGGAGGCGGGGGAGGCGGCCGACTCTGCGCTGGCAGAGCTGGCGCGGATCCAGGAATAGGTGGCGGCAGTCGACTTAATCTATTGCTGGCATTGGATTTAGGAGATGTAGGGCTGAACTCCTCACGGGCAGGAGACAGTGGTGGCGATCTCGCAGGCAAGTGAGGGGGCTGAACTGGCGGCGGTGCCATAGGAGGAGACCTTACGGCAGCTGCAGGGCCTTCTCGGTCGCTGTCACGGCCACCAGAGAGCTCATCACCCGACTGGGACCCTTCGGACTGAGACTTCACATCGGCAGGAGGTGCGGGAGGAGGAGGCCGAGCTGAAACTAATGAGAATCATGGTCTTCTTTGGACGGGCGTTGACTTACATTCGGATGGCACAGGGGGAGGTGCTCCTCGACTACCGGGAACAGGAGGAGGGCCTGCTGGATCTCGAGGAGGAACTGTGTGGCGGTTAATATCCAAACTACCGAAGATCTTGATATCCGATGGTACATACTCGCCGGTGCAGCGTGAGGAGCAGGAGTAACGTCACTATCTGCTTCGTCCTCTGCCATCTCTGCGTGCTCTGGAACTCGGGGCCGCTGAGACGACACAGGAGGTGGTGGCGCTCGGGCAGCTGGTTCATGTTCCGACGGCTCCTCAGGTTTGCTTGAACCGCCAAATCCAGGCAAGGCCATCATAGTAGGAACGGGTGGTGCAGCATGGCTTGTTGGCGATGCCTCCTCGACAGTTTCGTCGATCGATGTTCGCTCTGGCTTTGGGGCCTTCTTCTTTTTGGGAGGCGGCGCTGGCGCTGGCATAGGGGCACCAAACATGCCATGGAAACCCATACCACCGCTCATCTTGGCCATTCTCGCCCGTAACTCCTCTTTACGCCTGACTTCAGGATCCATCTCCTCCTCCTCCTCTTCTTCCTCTGCCTCATCCGCTTCCTCGCTATCCTCCTTTCTTGATGTTGGTGCCTCAGGAGGAGGACCCGCGTGTATAGGTAATGCAGGCGCTCGCGGTGCGTTCCTAGCCACACCATCACTATCATCCCGCTCCGTTAAGTCATCATTGCCTTCGGTTGTGTCACCCGCGCCAGACATATCCGCCTCATTACCATCATGGACAGGTTCCACGGCAGGTCCCTTGGAAGACCTACGGCGTGGAGGTGGTGGCATGCGATTTTGTCGTGGCTCGTCCATAGATGTTCTGGCATCGGTATCCTGGGTGTCTCTGCGCTCAAGAGGAGGATGAGGCTCTTGAGGTGAAGCCTCCGCCTCAACTGGGGTATCAATATGACCGACACTCTCACGCTTCTTCTGAGGCTTTTTCGGTTTCTCCTTCTTGGCAGCCGCATCAGCATGTCGTGCTGCTTGCTCCTGCTGCTGTTTTTGAAGCAGTGCAATGCGCTCCTTTAAACTTGTAGGTTTAGGTTGATCTTCATCTTCGCCACCCTGACCCTCACTTGGTACAAGTCCGGCCCTCTCGGCCTGTCCCTGGGTTTCTGCCTCCCGTTCCTTGATTTCAGGATCCTCGTCGCGCCGGTACACCTTAGCGGTTGGGGTCTGCTGTGGCGGAGGGATGAAAGCATTGCGACTAGGAGGAGGAGCCACAAACGGCTTCTTTATAAAACCTGTACCTGAGCCAGCCAGACCAGTTGGCTTAAAGGGCGCAACAGGGGGCGCTGCAGGCTTGTTAAACGCCGCAATGCGATCCTTGAACGAGCTAGCAGAAGGCTTCTCTGCCTTGGGGGGAGGCCCGGAGGGCTTTGGCTTTGGCGAAGCGGCAGCCGGAGCTGGAGGAGCGGGGGCTGGAGGCTCGGGTTTAGGAACTGCAACGGGCGGGGGAGCTGTAGCCTGGACGGGTTCGGCGGGCTTTGAAGTAACAGACTCCGGGACGGCCGGGGCAGCCGGTTCGGGAACCGAATGCTTATGTACGGGTTCATGGGCATCTTCGATCTCGGGCTCAGGTTCGGGCGCGGGGATTGAAGGAGCCTCTTGTTGAACAGCTGGCGGTGGGGGAGAAGCGATATCTTCGGCGGGTTGAGCATGTTCGGGCTCTTTCTTAGTACGGGTTCGAGCTGGACGAGGAGGTGCAGTAGGCTCAAACTTCTCGACAAAGTTTCGAGGGAAAATACCCTCTTGCTTCACGCCGTTGTCGTCGACATATTCCCCGCCATACCAGTCGGCGTCCTCCTCATCAGTAACAGTGATGACCTGGCCGATACTAAAGTTGAGGTCGTCCTCATGAGGCGATGAGTACTCGTAAATGGCCTTGACTCTGAATGCCGCGGCCATTTTTGCTGGTGATTGATCCTCTTCTGGAAGCTCTCTTGCAGGACAAACGCTGCCCGAGGCTGGGATCAAAGCTTCTCTGGGCGTGTGGCTGTATGGAGCAACAAGGTTATAGTACGTGGATTAGGTATTCGTAGGCTAGCAGGTCAACAGCTTTGCTTGCTTGCTTGCTTGCTTTGGTTGCTCGCTTGATTGAGTGTGGGGCACGACAGGGGGCGTCGTCAGCCTGTGGGATCAAGTGAGGCGGGGGAGGATATAGCGATGAGTTGTTTTGAAGGCGCAGTCTATGTAGGAAGGCGATTGCTCGGTTTTAATATGCGATAGGAAGTATTAGGTGGGAAATGAATGCCCGGATCCTCAAGAGGAAAAGCACGAGAGAGAGATGAGATGCAGGTTGCAAGGAGGGCGGGTGGTGTTTAGCGGAGCATAGGCCTGGAGCTGGGGCGTTTGTCGACGTCAGCGCTATGAGCCCGTCACTCCGTCCATCTCACGGCTAAAAGTGTTAGGCGTGTGGATGATGGTACTTCCAGTTTAGCTGGTAGGGAAGTTTCCAGTTCAGTTATAGTCGGTTGATGCCTAGTTCCGATGATGGTTGGTCATGTCTATCACGATAAGACTTACGTTTCTTTACGGGATATGGATTGAATGACAGTGATGCAAGACAGGCAACAGAGCCTACAAAATTGGGGAAGCAATCACGAGTCGATTTTGGGTGCATTGGCTTCGCATTGTGCTTGATCTTTAATTCGCGGCGTCGTACGTTAGTTATCTCTTACTATGGCCGAACAGTCCGAAACGAAGGCTTTAAGGCATGACAACATGGGGTAGCTAGCAGAAACACTGGCTGGGCTTCTAAAACAAACTAACCAATTGTCCATGCGTTGTATCAAGCATGATGATGAACAAACACTGGCCTGTCATGCTCTGAAACCCTTGCTTATGCCGTTTCCGTCATAATAAATGTAACCAGATGAAAAAGTGACTGATGACTGTTCTTTGTTTGTGCTACAGTGCATCATCATAGGGATCCATGATGGAGAGACTCGAACCTTGTTTGATTGGCTGACTGAACTTTCAAGTCCCGAAGCCGTCATTTTAAACATTCACTACCAGGCTATTCTTCAGCACTAACCTACATTCGTTATTTTGTCATCAGCCGATAGGCTCCAATCGTTCTTCAGGCAGTCAGTCAGTCTACCCTCCTTCAGTGGATTGCCACTTGTAAAACAGAAGCTACTGGTAGCAGGGGCTGAGGGGCTTAAGCAGGGCCATTTCTGGATCTTTCTGAGCTCCAAATTCGAGTTGTCTTTTCTCAAGACCAAAATACTCATTCATCATGGCCTCAACGTCTAAACAGCCCCCAAAGGGTGTTCTCAAGAAGCCCAAGTCTATCAAAGAACGAAATGCCGACCCCAGAGAAATCGCCATAGAGCATGCCAAGATCATACAGCATCGTAAAGACCTTGAAGCAGAAATCCTTGACAGCTTGGTCCTCCTCTCCGAATACCCTCTCGTCCGCAAACAACCTTACAACGCCTCCAACCCTTCTCCGTCTGATATTGCCGACTTCAAGGCTCATGTGCGACTCTTTCAACCTTCAGACTACGACGACCTCGTGATCGAGCGCAATGTGAACGAGCTTTGCGGTTACACCCTCTGCTCGCGACCACGAAGGAATACGGGTCCTGGCGGTCAATGGAAGATTTCCAACGGGAATATTATGAAGCGCGAGGACCTAGAAAAATGGTGCTCCAACCAGTGCGCTCGCCGCGCTCTTTATGTCAAGGTGCAGCTTAATGAGACAGCTGCCTGGGAGCGAGCAGGTATCCCAGATATTGAGATCGATTTACTCGACGAAGACAAATCGAAGGAAACAGAAGTCGACCGAGCTGCCCGAGAGCTTGGTCAGCTCAAGCTCGAAGAGCAAAGGCAAGCAGCTCGAGATGAAGCCGCTCTTGCTCTTGAACGAGGCGAACCAGATGCATCGCAAAGCAAGAGCAAGAAGATGAATATCACACTGAAGGAGAATGATCCTAAAGCGCCATCCACTGCGTCTGACAAACCAGAAGTCTACGATGACGAACATTTACTCGTTGAGGGCTACAGAACAAAACTCAACCTGGAGGATAAGAAGAAAGATTGATAATTCACGTTTTACGTGTTCGTAGCATTTATTCGCAAGATAGGCGTTGGCGATACGTGTATCATAGGCAGGGCCATAATAAGGACAGGAAGATACCCCATCATGACACTACCAAATACTGGTCGCATCGATGTAGCCAACAACATCACAGTCCCTCGGCTCAGTTCCTGAAACGTGCGAACTGGCCTTGGACAAGGGCATATTCACAGAAGCGAGGAGAGTAATTGGCGATCAAGCGTCATCTTTGGAGACATCCAGAGAATCGGCGACACCTTGGGGGGTCGAAAGATCTTTCTTTGAGACCTATGCACTCACTGTCCTAAGACGCCAAGTAGTAAAACCCTGTAAATGCCAGACACCCATCATAATAATTCCAAATACCAATTTTTTAGTCGCGGCGAGGGCGGTCGCCGTATCGTCGTCCACCACGCTCGGGAACCTGCTGCTGAGTGACGGGGATGACGTTGACGGGGATAGACTCGAACTGCAGTTATTGTTAGCACCTCGTCCAGTTTGTTCAAATATCGGAAGAGCACGTACGCCAAGGTGCTTGAGGAGATCCTTGGTCTCGCCATCGACGTCGAGCTGGCCGCTCTCGGAGTTCTGGGTGAAGTCCAGAGCAGAGACCTCAGGAACGTACTGATCCTTGCGCTCACGCTCCTCCTCCTGAAGCTTGAAGGAGATACCGCGGACGGGTCCACGCTGAATTCGCTTCATCAAGTGGGTAGTGTAGCCGGCAATCTATAATTTTCCTGAATTAGTCGCTGCCCTCAGTCGTATCTCGTCGAGCCGGTATTTCTAACCTTGTTGCGGAGGCGCTTGGAAGCAATGATAGCGATCTCATCACAGATACGCTTGTTGGTCTCGAAGTCCAGGGTGAGCTTGGGGTAGTAACGCTCAATGATGACCTTGGCGGACTTCTTGACAGTCTTGGTGCGAACGCGACCCATTTTGGCGGTATTGGACTGTTGGACGTTGGGCGATAGGTTTGAAGAAAGTCGCTGGTGTGAAATTTCCCGCTACAGCTAGAATTTTGGTGTTGAGTGGGTGGATCGCTCCTTCCGCTCGAAACCCTAAGAAAAGTCACGTGTACTCGATTGTGGCTTAGCTAATACAATTTAGTGGATCATTCTATCACACGATTGGCTCGAAACATTATGCATATATTATGCAAGCTTGCATTCATTTTCATAGCATGTTTGCAATGTAAGTCTTGATGACGACAGACCAGCAGATGTAACCTGGGTAATTGCTTCAATTCTATTTGTACAGTTGTTTGGTACATATCTTCTCTCAATATCAGAGAAAGTAAATGACATTGATATACATCGCCTCAGCCCCTCATCCATAACTCATGCACTTTATTGCTTATTGTCGTTATCAAGGCCGTAGTTCTTGGAGCTGCTCACTGCATCATCTTGGGGAGTAGGAGCAGTCTCATCACCAATGAGCTCATTAGCGACACGCTCGGCTCGCCAAGGATCAGCTTCTTCACTCGTTTTCTTGACTTGCTTTGTCGCATTGTACACTTTAGCACGGCCCTGAGCTTCTCTAGCAACAAGTTGGGCCTCAGTGTTGGCCTCTCGGAGTTGCAGCACGACCTTTCCACTAGGGTCGACTGTTGCAGTCTCGGGGCTGACATATGCCTTGGCACCACCGAAGGTCGTTGTGTCAAGGTGTGTAATACCAGTAAGCATCTTCTTGTTCTGCGAAACCCTTTGGCGGGAGTCTCTGGTGTTGAACTCGTTGTCTCCTGGGGGAGAGTCGGCCACGAAACCACCAACACCAAGTTTGGCAGGTGAGGGGCCTTGCCTGGGGTAAACTACTCGAGAGAGCACAGGAGTGCGCTGTTTTTGAGGTCCGTAGACGGGGTGGTTCTCCATGAAGGAGTTCGTCCTCAAATAACTAATGCCAGCAGAGGGATGGCTAGGAGGAGGTCCAGACTTTCCGTACGGACTCTCAGCAGCGGCATTGTCTCCAGCGGCGAGGAAGGTCTGGATAATGCCAACAGGCTGGCCAAGAGGAGCAAGGTCAAGGAACTTGGAGACCAGGCCATACAGTGTAGCACGATCACTTCGCAAAGACCGCACATAGTCTGTGAACTGATCCTCGGTGATGTGTTTAGGCCGGATTTTTTTTGGCGCGGTGTTGCCCCGTTCCATGGCAGCCGTGGCTTGTTTGGAGTTTAGAGATTCGGCAAGTCTCGTTTTGAGTAGCTCTCTGAACTGAGCTCGCTGAGGTCGTACTTTTTTTTCGAGATATGCCATAAAATCACCCTCAGTCATCCTAGCCAGCCACGGACCTCTAAACTTCCATCGCTTATCATCAACTCGTCCTTGGCGATACTCGGTAAAATCGAGGTCCTCCTCGAACACGGATTTTCGCCAAGCATCATTCCTCACAGCTATGCCGCTTCTCTCGTTTCCTTTGGGGATCGAAAGGGGAATTCGCATTTCCTGAAACTTCTCAAGAGAAAGAGTATGGTCGGCAGCAGAGGCGAAATCAGTAACGCTCTCGATAGAATCGACCTGGTTGACTCGGATCAAGGGTGTTGAGCTCGTTAAGGTGGACTTGAGAGGGAATGGTCGCTTGAAGCCCCAGTCACCCTTTTCACGGGACGAAAGAGGAGATGTGATGGACTGGTGCTGCGGGTATTGTCGTGTCATCGTGGGAGACTTGTGATCGCCAATGTGCAAGTTTGTCGATTGAGGCTCGGGTAATGGCTTTGGGAGGGAGAACAGTCGAGAAGATCTCAACAGTGCCCCTCCGGGCGAAACAGCGCGAGACCTCATGTCGACTCAGAGACCGTTTGGCGACCTCAATTGGCTTGCCGTTCTGGTATCTTCGTGTCGAGCAGTACCCGGGCGTATAGCTGAAGTCGACAAAAATTCGCTGGAGGTTGAAGCTTGGGCGTGATCTACCGATAATGGCCCGGATAGTATCTCATTGACCAATCAGCTCAGCGCTTTGATCTTCTTCTGACAGCACTGAGCCCCACTGAAACCCTGTCTCTCATCGATACAACTTCCATTTTATTCAAAAACCCAGTCAAGCGACTAACACGACTAAGAGGAGAGGAGCGTTGTATTATTGTTCTTCTTCGATTGTGGCACATTTAGGCTAAAGCAGATGCAAACGATCAAGAGGATGGCGTCATCAGCAAACATTTACAAGTCACCTGCCTTGACGCACGAGCTTGTCGCAAAATGCTCCGTGAGTCTTACAGTGGTGATGGCTTCACTCAGCCGATGAAGCCAGGGTCGAAGGGTCTAAGACTAATACACATATCTATACGTAGACAACAAGAGCCCGGGCATCAATATTGACTCTTCCTCATGGCGTCGTGCAACTTCCTATGTTCATGCCTGTTGCAACTCAAGCGTCTCTAAAGGGCATCACCCCTGAACAGCTTGAAGAAACTGGTTGCCGTTTATGTCTAAACAACACCTATCACCTCGGCTTAAAACCAGGACAAGAGGTCTTGGATGCGATAGGCGGAGCGCATAAACTTCAAGGATGGAACCACAACATTCTGACTGACAGTGGAGGGCAAGTTTTTCTCTATACTGGTGAGAAATCCCGGACTAACTTTGGCTTCTAGATTCCAGATGGTCAGTTTGCTAAAGCTTGCAACTATTACTGAGAAAGGTGTCGAATTTCTGAGCCCGCATGATGGAACACCCATGTTACTCACACCTGAGCATTCCATGTCACTGCAAAACAGCATCGGCAGCGACATTATGATGCAGCTGGACGATGTCCTTGTCACAACCTCTCCCGACAAAGCACGTATGCGTGAAGCTATGGAGCGAAGTGTGCGCTGGTTAGATCGATGCATTGCTGCTCATAAGAAACCTGAGACCCAAAATCTCTTCTGCATTATCCAGGGAGGTCTCGATCTCGATATGCGACGAGAATGCTGTCGCGAGATGTTGGCCCGTGATACACCGGGTATCGCCATTGGTGGACTGAGTGGTGGTGAGGCCAAGGCTGATTATTGCAGAGTTGTAGCAGCTTGCACAGAACTGCTTCCCGACCTGAAGCCGCGATACGTCATGGGCATTGGCTACCCTGAAGATCTAGTCGTGAGCGTTGCGCTGGGAGCCGACATGTTCGATTGTGTGTGGCCAACAAGAACAGCCCGATTTGGCAATGCAGTCACAAAAAAAGGCGTCTTGAACATCCGTAACAAGAAATACGCTACTGATTTCGGACCTGTCGAGGAGGGTTGCAACTGCATGGTCTGCAAGCCAACCGCTGATGGTGGGATGGGAGTCACTCGAGCATTTGTCCACCACAACGCCTCAAAAGAGACGGTAGCGGCGCATTTGCTGACCATTCACAATGTCTACTATCAACTGAACCTTATGCGACAAATCAGGGAAGCCATTATGGAGGATCGATTCCCTACATTCGTGCGACAGTTCTTTGCTTGGCTTTATGCGGATAAAACAGAGTATCCCGAATGGGCAGTTGGAGCATTGAAGGGGGTCAACATCGATTTGACAACGGAATAGAAAGCATATACAGCAATCAAGAGGCGTTGGTAAAAAAGTGAATTATGAATAATGAATATGATTCTATATACGAAAGCGCTTCAAATGCCAAGGATATCCTGATAAGACTGCGCATTGTTCATGAGTTTCCCTACAACACTTCATTAAAAAACCCGGATAAGTCGTTAGATCCACTACATCTTGTCGGAAATTGAAACTCATGAATAAGTTCCATCGCTTCTCGTTTCAATCATCATAAGTGGTCTTACAGAGCAATAGCCAGAGCAGCAACGGCAGCGAGGACAGCACCGAGGCCGACACGGGCGGAAGAAGCGCTGTTGCCGCTGTCGCCACTGTTGGAAGGCTGAGCAGGAACTGTGACTGTGATGGCACCCAAGTCCTCGCTGGTGGAGGCATCATTGTCAGAGGCTCCAGTCTGGCGGGAACCAGAGTCCTCGGTGGTGGTGGCCTCGTCGGTCTCGCTGGACCCAGAGTCTTGAGTGCGGGTGACAGAGGGAGAGCAAACGTCGTCGAAGCGGTCGCAGAAAGTAGCAAGGTTCTTGGCGACTATTGTAGGGTTAGTCTACGCTCAGATCGTTTCAGTGAGACACATACCAGAGTAGGCGGTCTTGGGCTCGCCAGTTCGGGCCCAGTCAGCGCAAGTGGAAGCATACTTGTCGAGCTCATCAGTCCAGGTTCGGCGGGAACCAGAGCCACGGCAGCTTATAAAATGTCAGTCCGTGTCAATTTTCGTGTAAGTGAATAACTTACCAGTAGCACTCGGCCTGCTCTCTGGGAGGAAGCTCAGTGAATTGGCGATCCTCAGCTGTGCAAGAAGTGAAGATATCGAGCATGTATAAACAGGCTGCAGCGTATGTCTGCTCAGCAGGGCTGGTGGCGGAGGTAATGGTGGAGAGATCTTCATCGTCCGAAGTTGCTGTAGGACTGCTACCGCTGGCAGAACCACCACTGCCACCAGAACCACCAGAACCACCAGTACATCTGGCGTTCAATCTGCAAGCACTGTACAGAGTACCATAAGCTAAAACAGCTTGTTAGCACATCTCCTGTCGCCATGGCCAGAAGCAAGACTCACCTTCGTATTGAGAGGTGTTCTCAGGAGCCTCATCCTCGAGGTAGTTGGAGCAGACTGAGTAAAGAGGAGCTGCGTTGCTGCGTCCATCACAGCATGCGCAAGCAACGAGAGCTGAAGGATCAGCAGTGGCAGCAGCGTCGAGACCACCAACAGAAGAAACACAGTCCTGGACAATTCCAACAGCTTGCTGGCAGGTCGAGTATTCGGGGTCGGTAGGGTTGATGGCGTTGTTCTGGAAGACATGAGGACCCAGACCGAGGGCAGCAAAAGGCATCGACGTGATCTGAGCAGCGGCACCACTGGCCAGGACGGAAAGAACAGCACCCTTCATTGTGAGGATTGTGTATTCGAAATATGAAACTGGTGAGAGTCGAATGTCTTGAGACAATGTTAGGGGTGGGTGTCAAGTCCAAGGCAAGCCAGTCACTTCTACGGATGAATATGAGCGAAAAGCAGCAATTCCTTCAAAAAGCAATCCTCGGGCATGAAGGGCCGACAGTCGGGAATTTATTCACGACGCCAACCGGGCCTGAGCTGAACAGAGCTTCCCTTTCCTTTCCAGGGTCGGCTCATCGCCTCGCTCCATTGACAAACACAGACTCCAGACACACAGGACGCTAGGAAGCTTGCGGACAGGGTGATGAGCTAGCTCTGGGCTTCACGCAGCCACGAGGCAGAATCTCCAGGTGTTCTGGGGCCAAGATGGCCAATTAGCATGGGCGCCATGGTGCGGCTGAGATGTGATTAGCAGGATCTCTCTGAACTGCACGTAGAAATTTGGTGGTCAACGTCCGTCGCCTCTTAGACGCAGAGTCGTAACGGGGACGGACACTGGAGGCAGACCAGGGGTGCCCTGCAACTGGGGACGATTCACGAAAGAGGAGTGGAGGAAAAAGCCACTCGGGTTGAGATGTTAAACACTCTGAGCGAACTAGCCTAGCTAGCCCAGATAAAGTCGACAAGGCTTTGCAAGGGCTTCAGGTGGCCCCAGCAAAAGGACCCCAGCTCGTCCACCCAAGGACGTTGAATGTCAGGACGATGAGAGTCTGGGAGAGATTGCGATGCCGTTTTCCGCTCGCATTGTCTGGGCAGACGTAAACAATGTGTTGAATCCATTGGCTTGGCAAAATCCAGGGTATCAATTTGCTGACGCTGTGTCTTACAGAAAACGAGAAGTGTAAGGGGCCCGCATAGCACAGCATCTTTTGGCGTTTTTGTGAGCACATCGTTGGATGCAGAGCCTGGAGGGTGTACGCCCCTGCCGATGCGCAGATTATGGCTGCATCGTTAGCATCAAATATCACTGAGTAGGAACGTACTATTACTCTGTGGCTTGATCCGAGGAGAATATTCCAAGATCAGCCTTGATACATATTCGAAGCTTCAGCTTTCATACCAGCATATGTCATAGATCCAGTGAAAGAAATTCCTCGACTTGAAGCTCTGGTATGGATAGACATGATGACCTCGTAAATCGCTCAGCCCTGTTTGTGATGCAAGGCACTATGAATTTAACCATTTAGTCATAACGGGAAGTTTATTTTAGAGCTCATTTTGTTGCTGACCACTAACGGATACTCGGAGCTCATTTTGAGATCAGAGGCGCCTACCGACTTGCAGCATGCCACTCACTCTCAATCCAGTCTATTGAAGCCTAATCGGAGTTGTCGGCATCTCAACAAGTTAAGTTCTGCCCTCCATATCGTTTGGATGTCTGCCAAGATGGGATGAGTAGACATAAACAACGGCTTTCATCCGCATCCCAGCGTAGTACCAGTAGCGCATCCTTCAAAACGCCCGACCAAGCGGAAACAAAGTCAGCCTAGCGAAAAGAGACAGGACCGTCGATAGTGGACCAGGAATGTCTCGGCAGCATGGGGCGATTGGAACTGGGGTCATTTTAAATGTGAGGGGTCCAGTTGTCGAGGGCCAAGAGGGACCTTGATTGAAGAAGAAATGAATTTCCGTGACTGGAGAAAACTTGCTGTCTTTGTTAGCGGTGAGTCCACCGTTTCGTTTCTTGCTCGCCCAGGTTACTCAGTTGAGCTTGGGTTAACACATCCATGTCACTCTTGTTGGCTTGGGCTTGAGTGCATACATGACTTCTACAGCCGTGATCTAGACTTGGCCGACATAACGGCAAAGTGCTGTCTGTCTAATGGTGTCTGTGAGGCTGTGTCATTGGCAACCATTTGATCTCGTATTCTTGGACAGTTGGCTCTAAATACTGGGGATCAAGTTATCAACGGCTGTGACTAGCTCTTTGTTTGTTGGACACTCAGCTGATAATCAGGCAAATTGATTAGCTTCGATCAAGATTCGGTAGGTAATTTATCGCTGACTTTAATTTATCTGATCTTCCAGAGCTTCCGAACCAACATTCTAAACACATGCAGCCTACAAATAGAAACCAGCAATGGACGGATACACACGGATATAAGTCCTGGGCATACCACTATCACTATGAAACTTTGACATCTGCAATATGTGAATCACTATATATTATATAGATCGTATTATGATTATAGACGAGATAAATCTTATCCCTTAAGATAGTCTTATAGTCATAGAGCACTCAGCAGTCGGAAGTCGACATGTTTGCTGCCGTTCTGTGCGACAAATATTCAGGGGTTGATGAGTTGTTACCGTAACTACGGATACCTGCCTGTCTCTTTCAATCTTGTCATTTTGTATTCCGCTCACGATAGACTTTGCTGTGGGTTTAAAGGCCTGAGAAATTTCTCCTTAATGTCGCTATAGCAAAACACAATCTCGCTCAGTTGTCTGCTCTATTTCTTATAAACGTCGTGAACCCCCTCCAATTGAAAGTGTACAGTAACTCACTGTTATTTACTAGCACGCCTGATGCGGTAATGTCCAAAACACAACAGCGTCATAAACTCCAGCCACGTGACCCCAGCGCGTTACTCCAGACGCGATCTGGTCCCTGAACAAGGGGCAAAGACGTCACCCACCGACATCCACATCCACATCTCCATCACAAAAAGGTTCAGGCCCAAGCACAAGCCTCAAGGACTTAGACTTAGACTTAGAGGGCCTGCAGCTGAGCTATTCCAAAGGCGACCAAAGGGGCCAGTTGGCTCTGACTTTACCTCGTCTTTGCCCCATACCGTCCGTAACTTACTTTACCTCCACTGCCTTGATCAACCCCACTACTCTTTGTTTCATACCATTTCGTCTTATCGGTATTCCTCATCCGTCGACTTCAGCTTCATGGCTTCGCCAAACCGCCCATCGCTGTCGGTTCGGCGACAGTCTTCCGCAAGGAACCTCAGACAGCCCGAACATGACGAGTTAACTCAGTCCTTGAACCAACTCTCCATCTCCACTTCGCCCGGCAGAGCTCCGTCCCGCCTTTCCTCCGAACCAGCTTCTCCCTTCCGCTCATCGGGTCGTCGCGCGTCGCAGTCGCCTGCACCAAATGCTCGGGCTCTGTCCCGTAGCCCCTCCCGGACTCGTGAAGCTTCTCGGGACACACCTACACTACTACGAAAGGCGTCTATGAACTCGCTGCGCTCCTCTAACGGTATCGGGCCAGGTTCGACCCCTTCGAGACGTTCCAGTGTGGTGCATCACATATCACCAACTCAGGCCAAGTCGCCTCTGTCATCTACTCCTCCTGTGCTGGAGAAACCCCGACCAACTGCGATTTCCATTGCACATGACAATCTCAGTGACGAGTTGCAGGCGCATCATGGCGCCACATCCACTCGCCCAACCCAGATGATCGTAGTGCTAAACGATGCCGTCTATGGACATCGCTTCTCCCGACCCCGAACTTCTCGTGCCGCTCTCAGTACTATCGTCGAACGCCCGGAACGAATAAAGGCAGCTGTGTTGGGCATATCTGCAGCGTATGTCCGCTTGGGTGGAAGACATTCTGAGGGTGAATATCCACTTCACCCAAAGAGAGAGGCTGAGGATATTCATGGCATTCCATTCCGGATACAAAGGACAGAACGTAGACTTTCTCTTTTGTCACCGGCTGTAGTAAATGTGCATGGGACAAGATGGATGGAAGAGCTCAAAATGATGTGCGATGCAGCTGAATCGAAGCTTGCAATGGGGGGCAAGGAGCTGCAGAGACCACAGATGAACAGAGGGGCTGAGAAAGCTGACAAGTTCCACGAAGGTGATCTCTACCTTTGCTCAGAGTCTCTGAACGCCATGGAGGGTGCTCTGGGGGCTGTTTGTGAAGCCATCGATACCGTTTTTGGTCCCGGACCTCAGCGGGCCTTTGTTGGCGTGCGACCTCCTGGTCATCATTGTTCTGCCTCATACCCTTCAGGCTTCTGTTGGGTCAATAATGTCCATGTTGGTATCATGCATGCAGCTCTGAACCATGGGCTCACGCATGCTGCTATTATCGACTTTGATCTTCACCACGGTGATGGTTCTCAAGCCATTACATGGCAGCACAATTCTCGAGGAAACAATGCTGCTAAGAATGCGGCAGCATGGAAGAAGTCTTCGATTGGCTACTTCAGCTTGCACGACATCAACTCGTATCCGTGTGAAATGGGCGATGAAGAAAAGGTTAGAAGCGCCAGTATCTGTATCGACAACGCACACGGACAAACTGTTTGGAATGTCCATCTGGAGCCTTGGAAATCTGAGGAGGAGTTCTGGAAACTCTACGAGACCAGATATATTGTGCTATTGGACAAGGTAAGGAACTATCTCAAGAACCAGGCGGAGCGATTGAGAGAATCCAACTTGCCTCCGAAGGCTGCCATCTTCTTCTCTGCCGGCTTCGATGCCAGTGAATGGGAGAGCGCAGGAATGCAGCGTCACAAGGTCAACGTGCCGACAGAATTCTATGCCCGTATTGCCCAGGATGTCGTCAAATTGGCCGCTGAAGAGGGACTTCACGTTGACGGTCGAGTTATCAGTGTGCTAGAAGGCGGCTACAGCAATCGAGCTTTGTGCTCTGGTATCCTGAGTCATCTCAGTGGACTCGCTGGAGATCAAACCTACGCTCAAGAGCCAGACAACGTTGGCCGCCTTGGTGTCGAAATGGGACAGAAGATTGGATCCCTTTCAGGGGAAATGTCACACAGTTTCGAGCAAAAGCCGTCATTGGACTCTGTTCATGCTTACGACCCATCATGGTGGTCGCCATCTCATTTGGATGAGCTCGAGGCTTTGATGGAGGTTCCAAATGGTCCAGCCAAGAAGCCGCAGAGCGCTACCCTCCCAACCTACTTCTCGCCGACACAGGCATCCACGGCTAAGGTCTCAGATCCCATCAAGATGCGACGTAGTTTGTCCAACTTGGGGGCGTCAATGACCAGGCCTCCATCACCACCTCCGCCAGAAGTTCCTTGGGCCATTGCAACTCATGAGCTCAGCAAGCTCCTGATTCCCTCTAGCCGTCAAACTGATAGCTGCAGGCCTGAGGAACTGAATGCGGAGGCAAGCAAGGCGAGACGAGATCGCCAATCAATAATCATGGGCATTGACCCAAACCCTCCTGCTGCTACTTCTTCTTCGCGCCCAACCTCGCGCATGTCTCTGCGTGAGAGGAGAGCCAAGGCAGCACCTACACCCGAGCCAACTTCTGAAAAGGCGTCCACAAGCCGCAGAAGAACCATGGGTGCTGCACCTATCTCTTCGGACAAGGTTAGTCATAAACTATCATGTGACGACGCAAAGCTAACTCCTGCAAAGGCGGTTGCGCGCGGTGTCCCCTCGAGGACCAACAGTGGTGAGCCGGCAGTGAGGAGGACCAGTCGTCGTCTTAGTGAGATCCCGGCATCCCTCACAACAAGGGATGTATCACCAGGTGAAGCAGATCGGCCTGAGGCAGTAGAACACGCTCGTACAGTCCCCAACTCGCCCATGGCTACGAAATCAGTTGCCAGCGCCAATCCTCCAGTCAAGAAGGCAAGAACTTCTACTGCCCCTCGCAAGGAGCCTGCACCAAGAGCGCCTCGTGGCACCAAGAAAGCTACTTCTACCGCTGGCCCTTCGCGACCTGCCACAGCTACACAGAAAGCTAAGTCGCCAGCCAAGGCTTCGAAGAAGGATGGTGCATCTAGCACGGGTGGCGATGATATTGACAGCATCACCTCTGGTATGAAGAAGATTCGTATCAACCTGATCACCCAGTCTCAGAAGGAAGCCAAAGAGCGAGCTCGCCTTGAAGCTGAGAAAGCCAAGGGCAAAGAATCTTCTATTACATACAAGCCTGCCACAGGATCTTCTAGTGCTGAGCACCCATCATCAGCCAACAACCATGATCAAACCGATCAAACCTCTGTCAGTGCTTTCGTCGAGACGCAAGATATCTCTCCTACTCAACCTGCACCGGGCAATGCCCGCATCCCTTCACCACCTACCACTGCCTCTTCCAGCAGAATCATGTCTCCCTCACAAGAGCAATACGCTTTTGAATCCACTGCGCAAGTCACTCAGCTGATGTCTCCTCCTCTGAGTTCTCCTGCCATCCCCTCTGTTTCCGTACACCCTAGCACGGATGCAGATGACATCTTTGTTCCTTACCAGCCCGAAGGCCCTGCGCCTGAGTCCGTTGCTCAGATCGAGCCTCTGAAGTGGCTTCCACCTAACGTACCAACGCCATCTGAGCAAACACCTGCCGCGACGCCTAGCCCGGCCAAGAAGAGCAATCTTTTCCAATACACTTCCGGCGGTATCCCATTTGCCCCTCGCCCGGGACAGGGACCAAGTGAGCTCAAGCACGCGGAGCAGGGTGTTAAGTCAGAGCCAACCCCGCCGAATCATATTGACGAGATTCCCGAGACGCCTCAGCATTAAAGACGTTGCTAGTTCTCTTGGACATTTGTTCTTCTGATGTATGGCGAATGCTGTCAGATCTTTCACATCACTGCTTTGGAGAGTAGGATACAAGTGGGAGATGATACCCGCGTTTTGTTGCCATGGTGTTTATTTTTCTATCAGAGCTTTACAACACATCCTTGTCATGTATGGATGTAGTCTTTTTCGCGATACCCTATTCCTCTTCCTTCTGGATCAGACCTCTTGTTGTCTTGCTCTATAGTTCTATTCTTGTTTAATCTATGACTTTATGGCTTTCTATTCTGAACCAATAGCCCGACCATATGTATCTTTTATGGGAAATTCTCACGGAACACACTCAGAGGAACACTGACTTCCTCAACAGTAGCTCTCTTGGTTCCATCCACGCCAGAGTTAGGTGTTCTCTTGAGACACCAAACCTCCTTGATGCCCAGACTCTCGAGATAAGTGACTGTTCGAGCATAGTTGGTGGCAACCTGTGCAATACCATGACTGTCATCGCAGAAAGTGAACTTGCCTCCCAATTTAATCCATTCCTATGAATAGTTAGCATTTACTCGAGAATATTCCACATGATGAGATAAATAATGTCAACTTACCTCGGCAATTATCCTACCCGGATAAGGTTCGGCAAGTCCCTTTCTCAATCCCGCGCTGTTAACCTCAAGCCATCCATCCTGTTCCCTCGCAAGAGCCAGGTTTCGCAGGATGCGCTCCCAGACACCCTTCCACTGCCGAACATCCCGGGCTGGATCCTCGCTCATCAACCGCACGAGATCAAAGTGTCCTACAACGCGCGGGCGCAGCTCCTTGAGCATGTCGTACTGAAGATCGTAGTAATCCTCATAGAGCGACTCTTCAGTCTTGCGACTGCTTGCTTCACGAGCTGTGGCAAACATCTCCTTGTTGTAGTCAATGGGAGTGCTGTGAACGTAATGCACTGAGCCAATGAAGTAATCAACGACGGGATGTTCAGCGAGTTTGCGAACGTGAGCTGCGCAGTTTGGACGGATGAACTCAGCCTCGAAGCCAATGAGGATGTGAATTTGTGAAGCATACTCGCGCTGAAGACGCTGAGCTTCCACGAGATATGCTTCGTGACGAGGAGGAAGAGCTTCTAGAGCAGCTTGAGGGTTATCGAGCTGTGGAAGGTTAGACAGTGTATGACTGATAAGCTAGATGGTGAGACGAGCCTCTTCGGGGTAGAGATCGCGTAGATCATAGCGAGGCATGTGCTCTGTGAAGCCAATTGTCTTGTAACCAACAGAAATAGCCTGTTTGACGATATCTTCGAGTTGGTCTTTGGCATGGCCAGGGCAGAACTCGCCAGAATGTGAGTGTAATGTAAACGCCATGATATGTTGAGTTACGTATTAGACTGTGATGTGAAGATGGATAGAAAGATAGATGGGGGAAAGATAAGAATAACCACGAATCTCAGGAGACCAATTCTTTTTAAACCGGGATTAGCATCGTCTAGGAGTTGCCATGTAAAACGAGTGAGTGGTTTGGCTGAGTTTTTAAAGACTCATCAATTTCAAGACTCTTCAAACTTGCTTTGATAATTAAATCCATGGCTGAGAAGCTGGACTGGGCTGGGCAGGGCAGAGTCTCCACAATTCCCCAGTTTCTGGTTACTCAAATAGGCTTATTTTTCAACCACATGCACGAATACTCAATCACTACTTGCTAAGATGTCTCCGAGCCTTGCAAGACCTCGTATATTCACAACATGACAAGTTCATGTACATTATCCGTACGGAGTATGTTGTAGATCCAACAAGTTCATAATTCCCAACCAATCGCTTCCTTCCAACGCCATGCATTCCCAAACACTAACCCAGACCAACTTGTATAATACAATTCAAGATCCTTGCCGAGGGTATCACTCTCACGACTTTTCATATGTCGCAACATCCCCATAAGAGTATACCCCAGGCGCCATACTAATGTATCGCCCAGGAACCATTCCCCCGCTCTTATCAGCACTTGTTTGCGAGACCATTGGTGGCCTCGCTGCTTTTCCTTCGTCCTGCACGATCCCGATACCGTAGCTTCGGGTTCCCGCGGCCCCCTTACTCCATCCGAGATGGAACGTCCTTCGACGAAGGCATCGCGCTAAATCGTCATCTTCCATCCATTCTGCTCCGTCTGGTAAGCGCCACCACAGTGTTGAGTCTGCAAGAAGACTTGCTTGAGCGGCAATACTACCAGGGCTCTTGCTCAGAGTCCCCCGAGATGCCGTCCGTAGCGAAAGGAGTCCGAATGCGAGCGTAAAGCCTAGTAACCCGATGAGGACAAAGCTTTGCACGCTTCCCTGCATCAGACGCGGGAGAACATAATCAACCGAGGCTGGAATATCGGTTGGAGAACCATCACGAGCACGGAGCTTAGATGACAAGGGCCGCCGCATCAAGTCACTATTGAACGCCTGCGCAGCAAGAATTCCATGCAGTTGGCGGATCGCTTGAGAAACTGAATTCTGTCTCTCGGGCATCGCAATACGCTCCAAAGTTGTCTGCAACCTCGAGAGCACCAAAGTACGAAAGAATGCATCGAGTCCGTTCATGGTTTTGTTATCAGCACCAACGTTATCGAGTGCTTCATAAACACTCGTGATATCCGCCGTCACATCCGAAGGCGTCTCACTCGATGCGTTCACAATGGGAATAGCATTCGTGTTGATGGACAGGTCCTCAGTGCGGAATGTTGTCAAGACATCAACGTCGACAATCGATTGATTGCACATCATGACAGAAATCATACCGTCATCTGAACAGCTACCCCAAATATACTTGAGGGAGTATTTGGAAGAGAGTTGTGAGCATGAAGACGCAACAAGTGCAGTTCGAGATTGATCAGATCCGCAGATGGGCTGCTTCGTGGATCCTCCCAATGGTACACATTGCCAATTCACACCCTCGCCTCCATAAAGAGATATCGTCTCGCAAGTGAGCTTGCCCCTGAGGCTCGGGACTGTGGCCACAAGTTCTGTGTTAGGAAGTGGCCACTCGCTTGGGTGATCGACAAGCGAAACCTCTGGGAGAGCGACATCCTCCCACGTCCATCTCGGGTACTTGGGAGTTTCTCTCAGGATCACATTTTCGATCGTATCGCTATCGATGGCGGTGCTTAGCGATTTCGTTGTCGATACAAACTGCGACTCTGGTCGAAGCTCAAGGTTGGCCCTTTGTGCCATCTGAGAAACAGCAAACAGTCCCGCAGTAAATATTGGCATCAGCCAGCCAAGCATCGAGGTGCACTTAGCCAGGAAAACGGCCCAATCTTGGTTCTTCATGGCCTTTCCAGCTGTGTGCAGACCAAATTCGTTCATGTACGTCAGCCCCAAAGATTCCTGAAATCGGCATTTCGAGTCGGTGAGCTTCAAGAACGGGGCCAGGCGTCGGTTGTCAATATCGATTCGGGTCCAGAAGACGGCGAGAGCTGCAAAAATTATGGTTGGTAGACAGGTCCAAACAATGAATATGCTATCATCGACTTCTAGGCCATTCTCGTTTCCTTTCAAGTTATAAATGACACAGATTCCAACAATCAACGCAACAGAAATAGCAATACTGATGAGCTTGGTTCGGGTGACTTGTGTCCATGGCTGGTATGTCCCCGTGGCCTCCTCAGGTCGGTTGGAAGGGTTCATGCCTAGGGCACCACTTCCTCCACCATGCTGTCTCAGCTGAAACATTTCCTCAGGTCGACGTCCGGGTTGTGTGAGTTCCGTGGTATACCATGAGCCTGCCAACCTACTAGCAACAGCATTCATATCCGCATGTCCAGTTCCGGATAGTCGCGAGAGAAATTGCTGGCTACTTGTTAGAAGCGCCGCAGTTCCGGCGGGAGAAGTAGGGTCTCGAGGCGCAATACCTCGAGGGGATGGTGCATGATACAACATGGGAAGAAGTACGCCAGAGATGATGAGGAAGACGCCAACCATAGCATGTAAGACACCAAGCCTGGCTCGGAGTCTGGTAGTGCTATCGACATATATCTCGGCGTGAAAGACGGCCGTAGAAAGAACGATCTGAGCACGCAGGAGAAGCTTGATAACGATAGATGCAACGACGAGATGGTGGCGGTTTCGAAATGCTTTAGTTAATGCTTGGAAGCTCCTGAGGCTAGGATAGTCGAGCAGAATAGTTCGGTGAGCTTGCTTACGGCGAGTTTCGTCAACAGTCGTTGGTCGGCGATCGAGTACAATCCATGGCATATAAAGCAATGCTTGAGCTTCGACTCGTGCCCATAGAATGGCCATGATAGAAACAACTTGGTATATGTGAGCACTTGGACGGACGAAGATCCCAACCACACAGAGTAAGGACCCTGACGATCACTCACCAACAACGGGTCCAAAAGTCCACAGACCCTTGAGGCTGCTGTCAACTTCATTATTGGAGAGCCACCACATCACTACCTCGCCAATTACAGCCAACATCATAGATGCGCCAATGAATATGCTGGTCACTCTTCTGCGCAACCACCAAGGTCTCCAGCCATTGTTGAGGGGCACCTCTGTAGCGTCTAAATTATCGGTTCCACGGCTTGCATCGCCCCACGATCCAGGTGTATGAGGCGGCGTATCAAAGTAAGGCGTCTCGAGAACTGTTTCCATCATGTTCGATGCCTTCATCGATACTCGAGGGTCTGTGGCGGCTGTTGCGCCAGACATGCGTGGTGAGCTGAAGCCATCGCTGGTAGGAGAATTAGGGAATTGCCCCCTCTGTAATGGGCCTGGACTCGGCGGGTAGAAAGGACTGAGAGGAAATCCAGGACTCGAGGGACTGTTGAGAGATTGGAAACTGGCTGGACTGAGCGGACTTGAAGGGCTTCTTGGGCCAGGTGATACCCTTGCGATGGGCGGCGAGAGAAGAGGTTGAGGAATTAGACGGGCTGTAGAGTTGGTAGGCTGTGAGGAAGGATGTCGGATATAACTAAGGCCGGATGATGATGCCGTGTATCTAGAGTCGTCGTAGGGACCAACAACGATCTTGTCGTGATCGGCGTCAGATGGTGGCATACCCATGGAATTCCATGGTACAGCCATGTTTTGTCACTGCAGTGACTGAAGACCTATTAGAGAATGAGAGAGGCTAAGTTAGGCGAGAAGCCTCAAGACATGATCCATATGGTGAACCTCGAGAAGTGAGGTTATTCAGTGATTAGTAGTTGGTGATGATCAACTGTAGGTAGAAACGAACGAGAGTATGAAATGAGCGTAAGTGATCGAGAGAATCTAAGGTAAGGTAGGATAATGGACAAGGCAAGGAAGGAAGGAACAGATTAGGAATACATCAAGATATCGGACAGAGGAAAGGAAAGAGCAAACGTCAAATCGGCTCGTTGTTGCCGCGCCACGCCACTCTAGATCCTTTAGACCTACGGATACAAATACTACTCTCCCCTCACTCATAAAAAGTCACAGTCACAGTCACAACCTTCACGCCAGCAAATAATGCATTTACATACATACAAATTCAACCTAAGCGCCGCATTCTGGTGCTATATTGGGTCGATAGTCTCTAAATCCTCGTCCATAAACTGCTCTCAACCCCTGAAGAGGGCCCCTCACCTCCACCATCCGCGTGCAAGAGCTTACATGCCATGCCCAAGAGGAGCAGTGCAATGCGACTCTAGCAGGATAGAACCAGACTAGTATTAGACAAGCTGACACTCACTAAACAGCCTGATCTGATCCTTCTCTCCTCTTCAGCTCGGCATCTCCATCTTCAACTGAATCAACCGTCCAAGGCTTACGCCATCAAACTTTTGGTCCACCGTTATAGCCGCGTCGTTACCTGATCTAACTACGGTACGGTACCTGCAGACTCGCTGAGCTAGCATCGTGAAAGCAAATCATCCATCGAAACCTAAGGAATAGATTGGTCTGGTTTCCCCTCTTCTTATTTTAGCTCACTGGCCCCCAGGCCCCAGGCTCATAGAGGAGAAGCCGGAGTAGCCAAGCTTCGCTTCTTTGTCTAGAACTCTTAGATGCAACTGTCTCCGGCGCTTGGCCGTTTCTTAACTACAAGAGTCCAATATAACAAACGGCGTTATCTTTTCCTCCCACTTTCCTTTCTCTTACCATTAATAACTTTTTCGATAGTTTGCGACGCCACGCGTCAAAATCTTCAAAACGGCCCCTGAACTCTCCGGATGAACGCAATGGGTTGCTAGTATTTATCAAGTTAGTAAAAAGGAGACGAGAGGAACAAAAGAGAGCAAAAATCTCCGTAGTCTGCCTACGCAAGGTCAGGAAGCAGCTAAAAGGCCTGGACAGACAAGACAGGGAATATGATATATCATGCGAGGTGCAGGGTTTGCATATGATGAGTCTGGACTCATCTTGATAATCAGCCTGGCCTGTCTTGACAAGCCTGAATCCAAGAAGAGACAAGACAATGCTCCCAAGTCCCAAGACTGAGAATCGAGTCTAATCAACCCCTGTCCCTGACCCCCAGTCCCCGAGCGCCGCACCGTTGGCGCCGTCGCCGTAGCGTGGCCGACCGTCAGGGTTTAATGCAAGGGGAAATTACTCTTTCGACAAGTCAATCGCCACATGCGGGAAGCCCGCTGCAAATGTCTTAGAGGCTCCGTCCAAAGACGCTCATTTACACATGAAAAGTCTATTAGCGATAAAGTTGTACGTCACCAGATATAGCTCAGCCAAGGATCATTCCATTAGACAGAGATCACGTAAAAATGGCCGTGATGAGCATGCAGACCATCTCGTCCGAGCAATCCGCGTCCAATAGACTCGGCATATCAGCCTTATCTAGACAACGATGTAACCTCTCAACACACCGAACCTGGCAAGCTGCACGCCAAAGGGGGATCACGAGCATCGCGGGTAGTGACATGGCCTAAATATGCACGCAAGATCATACCGAAGATGATTGTCAGGTTTAATCGAGAGAACTGAGGCTACTGTACAGAGTAAAACGGGGCATACTGAAAGATTGGCTAGTCAATGTTTGGAGATATCAATACGAACATTGGTATGAGACAGGCAAGACAGACAGAGCATTCACGAGTATCCATTTCTTTCTTTAATTGGATTTCTTTGGTTTCTAACGTTTTGAAAAGTGTGAACAACACCACCGCTTCCCATCGCTCTCCTCAGAAGTGATAAAAAGGCATACAAGTCATGGACCAAACACACCGAAAATAGTCCTGTTATATACAAGTTGACATGTATCCTATCATCCAAAACCTGCTCTCATTGTCTGCTGTCCCGTCCCGAAACGCCTGTCTAGGTAGATAGCCAAGCTTTTCACCTTCTCCCCGTTGTCCCTTGCCTCGCCGTCCCTCCTCTTACACATGGACAACTCGGTTCCTCCACGACAAGATACAATAAACAATGACAAGAGAAAAGAAAGGTCAAGAGCATTAAAAAAGGTTGGCCAGGTCGCCAGGATGGAGCCGAACGAATAAGTAAAAGGGACGTGGGGGCTCTACCCCTTTGGAGGCGTTAGGCGTGAGGGGGAAATGATGTAGGGCCGGGGCAGCCGACCATGTAAGTCTATAATGAAGAGCAAGGCTCATGCCGCATCGTCGTCTCAACATGAGGATGAAGAGCATGGTGAAAGGAAACATTTCGAGTTGGGGTTGCTCATGTTGAGCGATCTTCGTAGTGACTAGCTGATCACCGCGTCGTAGTGGTAGGAGTAGTCATCACAATCCACCTGAAGGGTATCGAAGTGTTTTAAAAAAGAAAAATGGTGCACTGGTGAAAAGGTATAGATTTTTTTGGTGTATGGTTTGAGGGCGATCAGCCGTCTGGGTGTGATTTGGATCAGTTCCATCCAAGAGAGTTCTCAGCAGCAACAGGCGCAGAGATGTACGCTGTTCGTGCAGAGTTACCCATGCCACTGCGTCCACTGCCATGGCTGTCACGGCCGCCAGAGCGAACCTGGCCTTGCTCAGCATGTGTTGCGCCATATGCTGAGAAGTCACGGCTCATCAAAGCACCTCCCATGAGAGCAGGGCTGCCGTTACCGGTGTACTGCATCTCAGAAGAACGCTGGCTGCTGCCAATGGAACTAGCACGGCGGTGGCCCTGTTGCTTCTTGCGCTTGTATCGTCGGGCGACCAAGAACATAGCAGCACCATACATGACACTGAGACCAACAGCGCCAACAGCAATACCAGCAGTGGTGGCCTTCTGCTTGGCAGACTTGTCACCCTCGCCACTGTTACCGAAGACATCGCCGTTGCCACTATTGGCATCATCCGAGTTACCGTTATCTGTGTTATTGTCGGTGTCCGAGTCTCCAAAGATGTCGATCTTGGTGTTGATGACGGAGGTCAGGTTACGGACGATCTCAAGATCGTTGTTGTACAATGGCGAGTTGGGGGTAATGAGATCAGCCTGGAGACTGTCGATCATGTTCTCGGGATAATGGATCTTGGCGAGAGCAGTGATATACCCCCACTGGGACTGAGTGTCGAGAGGAACAATCTTGCTAACGAGAATGCGGTCCTTGGAGAAGCCACCAGCATCAGCAAGACCCTTGGGGAGGTACTTGAAAAGCTGAGCAGCTGCGACAGTGTTGCGAGCCAGGAACTTGTAGTTGAAAGGGAACAAGAAACCCAGCTGGATGGGAACAGAACCTTCAGGGATAGGCTTGTTGGGGTCGTTAGGAAGGATGACACGGGGAATGTTAGCAGGAAGGCCGGTGGAGGTTGAAGTCTCAGTTGGCTGCGAAGGCTGGGCGGGGATAGATGTAGGCTCGAAGACAATGGTGGTGGGCAGCCAGTTGTTGGTGTTGGTGAGGGTGGCAGTGGGTCGGATGCTGGTAACAGGAACAGCAGCTGTGGGAACCAGAGTAGTAGGCTCAGACTCAGGCTTGGTCTCGGTCTCAACAGGAGGCTGCGAAGTGGGCGCAACTGAAGGCTGCTCCTCTGTGGGGGCAACAGCAGAGGTCTGCTCGCCTTCGGTCGCAGGTGCGCTTTGAGTCTCAACGTCAGTAGCAGGCTTGGTAGGCTCAACGGTAGCAGTGCCGTTGGTTTCCGCATCAGTTTCGGTGGCAGGGCTGCCAGTAGGAACAGAGCCAGAAGCTGTGTCAACAGGCTTGGTGGCAGACTCGGTAGCTGGTTCAGTGGCAGGTTCAGTGGCGGGCTCAGTAGCAGGCGCTGTGGTGTTTCCTGAGGGCTCATTGGTGGGAGCTCCAGTAGGAATAACACTTTGAGTGATGTTTGTTGGCTCCTCAGTGCCGGCACTGGTCGGCTCAGGGGCGCCGGTTGTCTGAGGCTCGCCCGTAACATTAGGGCTGGTCTCCGTTCTGTTGATAGGCTCGCTGGTAGGCTCAGGCGTAACATCGATACCAGATGTCACTTCAGGCACAGTGGTGTTAGGAGCATCAGTAGGTGCAACACTGCCAGTTTGGGGAAACTTGGTGTTGGGGTCAAGGAATGAAGTAAGATCCGGGGAACCACTTTCAGACTTTTCAGGGAGAGAAGCAGTTGTAGGAATCACAGGTGAAACAGTGACCGGGCTTGAGGCCTCAGGAACAGCAGATGTGACATCGGTAGGAACAGGAAGGATATTGGTAGGATCAGGCAGAATGCTGGTAGGGATGATCTCAACAGGGCCAGTGGTCTCAGGCTCAGTTGAAGGAGCAGCGGAAACAGTCTGCTCAGAACCATTGGGGGAAGCAGAAGTAGGCTGGCTGTCAACAGGAGCTGAAGATTCCTCAGGAGATGTGGTCTTGACATCAGGCTGGTTGGGCAAGACGGAGCTCAGAAGAGTCTCAACGGGATCAAGGATACCATCCTTAGAAGTCTCACCAGCGGCGGTGGTCTCGTCAGCCGGAGGGCTGAAGGTTGGGAGAGTCTGACCATCAGTTTGGGGCTTAGAGGCATCACGTTGAGGATCCTTGGTGGGTGTTCCAGTCTCCTCGGGTTGAGAGATGGACTCAGTCTGGTCAGCCGTAGGGTCCTTGGTCTTGTTGTCGGCGGGCTCAGCAAGAACCGAAGACAACAGAGTCTCGACGGGATCAAGAAGGCCCTTGCTAGTGGCAGCAGGCTTCTCCACAGCTGGGCTTG